GATGTTACAGTCTACAAAGCCCTTGAACCAACATCTGAAAGCCTCACCTCCATCCAGAATTGTGAAGTCAAATCCATTTACTGGCAGAGCTAACCTCTCTCAGAGAGTTTAGCCACATTTGCTGTGGCACTTCATTAACCAATTGACACTTTATCCATGTAGCAGAATGCTCTGCCTAAGCAGGACTAAAACAGCTTGGATTTTGCCTTACTTGTAAGTTATCAATGATGGATTGAACAGGGAGGGCCCTGCTGTTCTTTGTGTTGAAGAATGCTGAAACCAGCTTGATCACACTACCCCAAATTAGACCCATCACATGGACAGGTAAGGCAAATGCTTCCTCATCAAGGCTGACATCAACAGAGATGTGAAAACTCTGGCAGGGAAGGGAGAGGCAGATGTTTACAGAAGAAGAAACCAAAGAGCTGACAGCATCTTATTAAAAAAAGAAAGCATGTTCTGTTGAGCAGGCAAGACAACATTTTATCTAAAATTGTGTGACTGACAGTTAATCACTTCATACCATGAAGTAAAGACCAGTTCCATTTTTAAATGGTGAAAATTTTTAACACACCTTTAGATGTGTGTGAAGATCCTTACCTTGGGTGGGGACACCCCTCAAGGTCACTCCTCAAAGCTCAGTGAGAGAGATTTGTCCATGGTCATTGCTATGGATGGACATCAGTGTCTACCCGATAATTACTAAGCTAGCTTTTATATTATTTATTTAATAACCAGTGCACTGTATTTCTAGTTTTAATTTTCTATACTGTGTGGTAAATAATTCTGATTAAGGCCTTTTTAGTCTAATGATTATCATTATATTCATCAATTTAAATAAACTCTTCATATTTTATTCATATTAAATAATTGGTTTGCCATCATTAATCCTGTGGAACGATTTGTACCAAGGTTCAATTACACCTCTATAACCACTTTAATTGCTTGTGACTCACTTGGGTGGATCTCTCTGATAAACTTTGTCCATTCCATTCACAATATATGCTGCCCTGCAGATTGCACGTTCCTAAGCTCCCAGAGGCAGAACTGTGGCTCTGCCTGAGCAACTGGACCAGACACTCACCAATTCCCTTGTGGGGATCAGGAGGACACGAGACAAACTTCAGAACCTCAGCCCGCTTCTCTCGCAGGCCCCAGCGATACAGGATTTCTCCATAGCACTTCTTAAAGTCATCAAATTGCTGAGTGTTGGCAGGATCCAGCAACCTAGAGGAACAAACAGGCTTGTAACTGATTGACTCTCAGAGACTCTGGTTGCAATTCTCTTTCCTGCAATGGCTATGCAACCATCTCACACTGCTGGAAATGCAGGAGGGCACTTCCCACGGGTTGCTGAAACATTGCTGAATACAAACTGCTCTGGCCTTGATTTGTTCTACACTCCAGGGTGCACACTCTATGGGTGGACTGTCCTTTGGGGCCCCCACCATGGCCTCTTAGGGATGCATCATGTGTAAGCCGAGCCCAGCAGTGCTGATCTGCAGGATGAAGCTTCTTCAAGCAATTGTGTGAATGACAAGGTCTAGGGGCAGGTGTGGTACTGCACAGCACCAAGAGACCTGGCCATGGAGCTCCATGTGACTGAGACACAAATAAGGCATCTCTGAATACCCCCAAGGCATGTGATAACCTACCTTTTGTTTTTCTCATGCTGGTCCTTCTCCCTCTCCCGAGGATCAGGATAAGTTAGGTTTCCGTAGCGGAAGTCATCTGGAGAAGACTCACACCAAGGAGTGGAGGTCTGCTCTGTGTCTTTGTTTGCTGCAAACACCAAGAGGCTGTGAGTGCATTTCCCCCCTCACAACTGGACTCAGGAAGGGACATCAAAGTTCACAGGTTTGCAGCCCCGTGTTTCAGTCCTATCTCTGTCCTACCACTCTCTGCATTCCAACAAACACTGCCCCGCCTCCAAGAACTATGTGCCAGTCTCTACTTGCCAAGTGCTCCTATGACACTTTTGGTGAAAGGACTTAATGGGCATCACCAGGCAGAGAAATCTGATGTGGAGGAATCCCTTTTGCCTTCTGCTTTAGACAAAAAGTAACCAGGCAATCAATCCCATGGAGTTTGCTTGGGAACATTTTCCTGGGCAGACTTGGGTTGCTCTTTCCTAGACAGGGAGGACTCTCATCACCAGGACTGCTGTTACGTAAAGGGGCCTCTGCATGCAAGGTACTGCCCTGGGGGCAGGGAGATGACTGCTAATAACTGCTACAAAAGATTATCCGCTCCCCTAACCCCCATCCTGTCCTCTTCCGTATGTCACATGTGCCTTGATATCACACTGAAAAGTTATAGCTGTGGTGCTAACAGGGCTGATGCTGCCCCAGGCCATGTATATCATTAGGAATCTGCCAAAAGTTTCAACTCTGACACCAGAGCCCCATTTGTCACCTTTGTCAAAGTGAAAAACCTCTGTGGATATTCATAGCACCAAGAACTCAGTCTTTCCAACTGCTGTGTTTCTTCCAGTGAGAGAAGAAAGCCTAGCACTGCTTTTCCCCCGAATGCTGTGGAATTAGCCAGCTGATGACATTTTGAGGCCATTTTTGATACTTGTTGAATGAAGTATCTACTGAAGTCAGAAGGTGCAGGACTGCAGGAGCCTTGACACAGACACTGCAAGGCCTGCTCACTTCCAGCCATACTGGCCAAACCCAACAGAGCTGCTCTGGCAGAACACATCAGTCACAGCTGGTACTAACTCCCTCTTTTCCCCACCACAGGAGCTATCTAAAACCTTGGCTGGAAGGGTGGGAGATTCCTTTATTTACCAAGTCTCATACCTATGCTCCAGCCTCCAGTGCCAATCCCAGGATCTGACATGCTGGAACAGGAGCCAGAGGAAGTAAAGCTGGGCTGTTGAGGGGGAAAGGAGAATAAATAATGTCATCTATATGAGAGACATTCAAAGATATCCAAGACAAATGGGAAAGAAATGGTGATCATACGTATCGGCTGTGGGAGGCCAGGTTGGAGGCACGCTGAGGAAAGGGGACACAAGAATTGGGGCACCCCTGGAGCCTGGACTGGGCTTCAAACACACTGCAGAGCATGGCCAGGGTCTGTACATCGTGGAGCTGTGAGTAATGAGCCAGTCTGGGAAATGAAAAAGACAGTGTCAGACAGTGTCAGCAGCAAAACCATTTAGACTCCAGGGCAGCTAATTTCAAGCCTGTTGCACACATAGGTTTGGGTGTCACGACTGCCCACAGGAGACATGTGCACTGAGGGACTGGATTGGCTTTTCTATCACACCTCTGAGAAGCCAAGTTCTCCTTCTGAAAATGTTCATGCCTTAACTGGTGGAACAAAGATGGGAGCTCTGGGAATTCAGCAGTACTTGGGCTCTGATGCAATGCTGGAGCCATTAGACTCACTCCCATCCACAACATCTTTTTCATAAAGCCCTCTGGGTGCAAGTGTCCTGCACCTGGATCACAAGGCAAATGGCTGCTGCAGGTTTTGTAGAAGGCTAGGAAGTTCCCATTTTGATCTGAAGGCTAAGAGTGATAAAGAGCAACCTGTGCTGTGCCCCCACTGCTGCCATGCAGCAGGAGAGAGCTTGGCCAAGCAACAGTATGGAAAGCACAGCACACAAATCCTGCACTTCCAGATAGCATGGATTAACAAGTAATATCAGTCACGAATTATGTAACTCCTGAGTAGATTCACTTGGAAAACATTTGTAGCTAACACTCAGCTTTGTGGCCACTGGAGCAACTTCCCAATAAAGGCAGATGACAACAGGGAATCTGAAGGTGAAAAAGAGCCTGCACAAACAGGCTTGTTTAGTGGGGAGCAGGAAACCCAAATCTCCAAGTCAAGCATTCTGGGCATGGAAAGCAGAGCTCCACCCGTGCCTGGCCTATTGCCCAATGCTGGCCAAGGAAGACCTGAGTGATAGGTGGAAGGTCAAGGGCCACCTCCTGTATGCCAGAAACACATTTGGAGTTTCCCTTTGTGATGCATCAGAGGCTTGAGATGGGAAAAATATCCATGCTGTGGCACTACCCCAAATATGAAATGACTCCTTACACATACATAGTTATGGAGGGCTCTGCTTCAGCAACCATTCCCCAAGCCCTCCCCAGCATTCAGACACGTACAAGGACTCCAGTAATTGACGTCCAAATGGATGTTGTGCCCAAGGTATCTCTAAATCTGGGTCAGACTTCGGTCCAAGACAGAGATCAGTGGCTACCATGGCCAGTGACCAAACCTGGCAGACAGGAAGGAAAAGTAGCAAAGCTACAATTAGGATTAACCACACTCCCAGGGCATAGGTGTGCACAAATTCACACACAGACAGACAGATAATAATGGAGCTTGAGCTTGTCTGTTTTGGTTTTGTTTTTTTTTCCCTGATAGCAGGGAACAGTTTCAGTCTCTGTGTCACAAATAATACAGAGAATAACACAAAACCAGGCTTTAACTGTCCCACTCACTTTGTGTTTGGGTTAAATGCAAAAGCAGAACAGTCTATAGTCTGTTAGTGCATTTTATATTCACAAGCATCAAAAGGGTTTAGATTTGATACAGTTCTTGGGTTCAGAGATGTCTGGTGGCAGAAAGGTTATTGGGAAATCATTATTTGCATGAGAAGTATCCTTTCATTAGTGGTATCACTAAGCGCTATTCTCCTAATGCAGCTTGGTACAGGACAGGACACTGTTTGCCTTTTCTATTTCAGAAGTTTAAGCACTTCACATGAAATTTCTCCTTCATTATCACCCTCTATTCTGAAAATGATTCCATCTTGTCAGTCTCTATACCACTGATCTAGGCTTGTTTTTTTCTGCTGTGCCTTTAAAAACGGGACAGAATATTCCAGGGAAAAGGAAAGCTCTTAATTTAGCATGAAAAAAGGAGCAGGAAAGGAAAAAGAGCATGGTGCTAAAAAGACAGCAGAAATCAGAGAACTGACAATGTGGACAATAAAGAAAAAACACATGCACCAAGTACAAACAGCCAGAAAAAGTAATCCCAAAGCTGCTTCCCGTGAAACCAGAGAGAGGAACAGAAGAGAAACTGAAACAAGGACTGGGCTGCGTAAGAGAGTGCACAGAAAGCAAACAGGAAAGATTCCACTTCCTACACTGCTACAGAGCACATCAAACCTGTAACTTGCAATTCAAGCCTGCATTTCTGCTGTGAGCTGCACTGCAGGCTGGAGTTACACGGGACAGGGAAGACCAAGCAAGAAACAAGAGTTATCTCAGAGAAATCTTGCTGAAGTTACTCCACCCGAACTCTGGTCCAATGTGGACAAACCAGACTGCTAGAAGAACAGACAAGGGGGAACTAGACCTACTTTCTCTCTGCTGGTGTTGCAGAACCCACCAAGAATCAAGACAACAGCTTGAGTCAGCTTCTGCTTAGATCAGGTAAGCCTATGCATGTTGCCTATCCAGCTCTAGGAAGAGCCAAATGCTGAGGAGATGTGCACAGCTCCTGTGGCACTGCCAATTCCCATCTCTTTCAGGTGTTCCCATGTCCTGTCAAATGTTCTGCCTGTTGTAATGGACTAATCACAGAGAAAAGCATGGGCCACAACAGCCATTTTTCTCCTACTTTTAGATGAAGGCAAATAGCCACCCCTATTTTGGGGCCCCTGGGCCCAGGCTCATTTGGGAGAAGACAGCTGCACTTAGTACCCAGTGCCAGCAGAATGCCAAACAATGGGAACAAGAACATAAGTACGAAAAAAATTACGAATCAAAATGCTGACAGCAGCTAGGCAACTCTGTGCACAGTTACTCCATTTGATGACTCAAAAGCAGACTGCATTCCTCACTTTGCCTACAGGAATTCCCTGAAAAATGTGTTTCACTGAGTTTGGCAAAGGGCATAAAAGAATCTGTGTGCAGTGCTCAGAAGGAATCTCTCAATGCCCAGAGTCAGCGAGGTGGGGACCACCTTGGCGGCCGTTCCACAGGCCAAGTTCACCAGCCAGGGAGTCCCTGATGGAGCTGCTGAACCCCAGCGGTGTTTGGGTGTTGGTGACAGCACAAGCCATTGCAGGGTAGCACAGCATGCTAGGGAAAAGGTCAGATTCCACGGCATACCTGTACGAGATCCCTCCGCCCCACAGCCAAGGCTGAGGCAGCATTCTTCTGGCAAGTCTCCTGGATGTTATTCACATTCAGTCTGAAAAGAAAGGAGGTAACTCAGCTCTGACTGACACATTACCTACAAAGGTGGGGAAGAATGGGGGGAAGGGGGAACGTGGCTCTGGCAGCAGTGAGCAGCTCAGAACCTCCCAATCAATATGAGCCTCCTTTGCATAGCCAGGAACCCATCCCATCCTTCTCTGTTCTTAGGGATCACTGCCATTCTCCTCCCACTATTCATTTTTGCTAATACACCACGCATCGAGTCCAAGTCCATACTAGGTGGGATTGATTCTAAGCAACACCACTTCCAAGAGGATATCAGACCAAACTTCTGCTGGGGCATCATGAAGTCCAGAATCATTCCTGTCCCTAAAAGCTGGTGCCATTGGCTACATGGTCCTGTTCCCATTCAGCCCATCAGTCTGCTCTGGCTGACTCAGAGGGAGACAGGGGCACACTGGGAAGAACCAGGCTGGCTGGGAGATAACACACCCACTGTGTGAAGCTTTGACAGGCTGGCAAGGTGGGCTGAGGAAGCCCACGTGTGCTCTTCTGCCTGTCATCAGAAATCTTCCCAACACTTCAACTGCTGTAGATTTTTGCAGTACATGGAAAAGGGTCAGGCTGTTTACACAAGATGTCCCAAGAAGAAAGGTCCAACAGTTTTTTCAAAAGAATATTCTTTTTAATAACACAGAAAGGGAGAGAAAGAAGTTTTTTTTTTTCCTCTCTTTCTTTCCACATAAAGGAAACCTGCTTCTTCCCTGAATGTCCATAGACTGGAAATTCCGTTAAGGACCAGCCAGTATTACCAAAGCTAAGAAAGAAAAAATTCAGGAACAGAGGTTTTGTAACCATATGATTTAGAAAGTCTGGAAAAAGGAAGCCCTTTGTTAAAAAAAATATCAAAAACCAACAAAAACATAAAAATGCCCACAGAACTCCATCCTTTCCAATACCACAGAACAACCTCCACAACAGACCTGACATATACAAACAAGACTCCAAGTGGGAACATATCAAATACTTCTGAAATGAAAAAGCTTTATGAGCTATTAATAGTTTTACAGAATGAAAATATGCATTTACTGAGACTTTTAAGCTTCTGCATTTAACATGAGATTTAAAAAAGAATTTTTACTGATAATTTCTCTCTTTAGCAGGTGAAAATCTGAACCTATAACATGTGCAGTGATGATGCTGATTCAAACTCTATTGACTACATGTCATCACAAATTTCTTCCCTCACACTTTTCAGATTTACAGGAGACAGGTCCCCTCTCACAGGCAGAGGGATACCAAAAAAAGCAGTGAGGCAAGAACAGAGGAAGAAGGTAGAGAAACATTCACGGATCCATGCTGACTGATGTCAGGATTAAAGCACAACAATGCCAAAGACAGCTACTTTCATATGGGAAAGGATGACAACCCAAGTGTACTCACATGTAAAGCTCTCCCAGCAGCTTGTGGACAGGCAGCAAGCAGGAAATATCTTGGATAATAACTTTCCCAGCAGCTTTGATGGGTCGGTTGTTGGCATCTGTCCCCTCTCGTTTGCTTTTCCATCTCCTTGATTTCTGCAGAACCAATGGTAAAGTGTTATTGGAGAAGAGGACAGTAGGCTGGTTGGGACAGGGAACAAAGCACTAGGGTCAGGAATAATGCAAGCAGCACCCAAACCTGCCTTTCAGAAGGCTCTGTGTTACCCTGGAAAACATCCATGACATGCCCAGGAGAACAAGCATCTCCATCTGTAGGAAGTGAAAAGCGGTGAAGGCAGCGAGCTCAAGGTCAAACTCACTCAAAAATACTTTGTGAGTTTCCCTGTGAAAGCCAATAATAGAATAAATCAGTATTGGGATGCCAATCAAACCTGGGCAAGTTTGGCAGGAGGACAGTTCAATTCTCATTCTTTGGGAACCCTTTGCAACCACTGCTGACTTCAGCCAGCGTCAGCACAGAGACCACAGAGACATGCTGGAGGCAGCTGCTGCTCGCCCTTTGCCTCAGGGCAAGCCCACCGCTCCAGGCTGTCTCTAGGTCTGTCGTCTCAGGGTTGAGAGCGGCCCTGTTCAGTGCCAGCACAGGGCTCCCACCTCCTGCTTTATCAACAGCTTCAAACAAACAACTGCCAGATGATAAAGCAGAGTCCAAGTTTTCCTAGCAAGGATCCCTAGCTACCATGCTCATATCTACTTACAGCTGGCTCAGCACATAAGAGGGGGGAGAAGAAAGGAGAGGAACCAACAGAAGGGAACAGAAACAAGAAGCCAAGATTCCCAAATACTCCCTGTAACAGATACAGAGGCCATCGTAAAGCCAAGCCGCATAAAGCTACCTTGGCTGTGTGAAACAGCATAGAGTATCTGTCTGGTATCCTGACCTCTTCCAGCTCCTTGCTCTAGGAGAGTGAGGAGGAGGGATGAGAGGATGTGTGGCAGCACAACAGGCAGAAGGCACTGGAGCTCTATGAAGGAAGTGCTGGCTGCTACACAGGGCTCCAGTGCTTTGCAATGCTGCTCTCCTATGGCGCGCTCCCTCAGTGCCACACCGAGCCCACCGACCCACACGGAAGCACCCGGACATGCTGAGTTAGGGAAGCTCTCCTGGGACACTCATGCTGGGGCTTCCCAAACACCTCATCAAAGCAGAACAGCCCCTCTCTCAAGGGGCCAGCAAGGCAGCCCTGTGCTGATGGCTCTCCAAGGCAGACACAGCTTACACAAGCTCACACTGGTGCTCCTAAAGAGCAGACTGGGATACAGGAAAGGCAGGACTTGGCTCTGCAAGCAAGATCACCTTTACTGTGGGTGTGAGGCCAGCTCTGGGATGGCTGAGTGCCAAATGGCTTTTGACCATGACCATGCAATCCTGTGAGAACCTGGCAGGCTTATCAGACACAAAATGTCCTTAAAAAACTACTCATGACCTTAAGAAATGCCACTGCCTGCCTGGCCCAAGGTTAGGCCAGTGTGCTGAGGAGATCTTGCCATGCTGAGCATACTACTAACACATGCCACAAGAAACAAAAAGGATGAGCTCCTGAAGCTTCTCTGAACACTGCACAGCTGCGGATCAGAGGCTTCAGCTTGACAGTAAGTGAAGAAGGCATTTCAGCCTCAAAGGAGGCAAAGGTGGGTTTTTCCAGGGATGCACATGTTACATAGCATCACCATTGCCCGGATCTTCCACCACCCTGAGTAAAGAAGAGCAGAGCTTGCATGGTGCCCAACATTCAGAGGGGTGAAACACTGGCAGAAACAGGGCTGTCAGCATCCAGTGCTCTGAAAAAGCTGACTGACTAGTTCTCTGCCACATCTATTCAAATCCTAATTCATCCAAGAGGAATCTGCCTGCAGTACTTATCTGTCTCCTGAAGCTGAAAAGCACTATGCAGTGGAAGATGGCTAGAATGGAGTCAGGTGGGAGACCCACCTCTCTTCAGTCCATCAGTTCCTAATCAAGGCACAGTCTGGATCAGCTCTGCTTCTCTCGACGCTGGGCAGCTAATCCTGTTTTGATAATACCTAAAAGTTTAGCTGCCAATTCCATGCTGAAGGATGTGAGCTGGTTCCCAAGTAACCTTACAACAACCTAACAAAAAGGTTCCCAGGTGGCACCTGTACCTCATTCTTTCTCAGGACAGCAAATGCTGTCTCTCAGGTGTGGTGAGGAGCTGCTGATGCTACCAAAATCAGTATATGAGTGAAGCTTGGGAGCCCCTGCATAATGACATGCCAGGAGGAAAGAGCTCAGGCACTGTCCTGGAAGGGCTACCAGGCTTCTCACAGCAAAAGCTGTTATTTGTAATGTGTCTGAGTGGGTGTTTGAGCCCAGGCTTGCAGACACAGAACCACGGTTCTGCAGGGCTATCAACAAGAGCTTCTAGAGCCTGGTAGATAATTTAGAGAGCAACCTGCCACCTTCTGGCCGTCTGTAAGCCAGCTGTCCCCAGGACTCAGTCGATGGAGAGCTCCCTCTGCCCAGTCTTTGGGAACAGATTCAACCTGCTCCTGCCCCCTGCAGGAGCAGACTGAAGAAGCCTCCCAACAGGCATTTCAAGACTACAAACATGGACAATACATATAATTTTCCACAGGCAATTGGGTCTTTTTTTTTTCGGAGGAGAATGACAACAAATGAAGATGAGAATGAAAAAGAGCTCTCAATGAATGGTTTCCACTGCTTGCTTTTAGCATATCACCATACAAATGGAAACATTAAATGTATCAGAATGCCCTGAAAACTTGGACTCAAACCAAAATTGACCTGTTTTCTTTCTCTGCTTATTTACTGGCAAAAAAGGAAACACTAATTCTTTACTGGTGCATCTCCAGGAATAGAGTTAGTTGATGGCCACAGGCCCTGCCTATACTACATTTCTATGCCCACCACTTTTAGCCCCTAAAGCTGTGACAGAAAACAATCATAAAGCTACATGTAAAGTCACCATTAAAAAAGCCTGGGTTTTTGGCAATTCAGGTTTACCTCAGCTACAGCAAGTAAGAGTTAGGAAAAAACCCCACAATCAGAAGTATGGGAACCATCACAGATGGGGTAAAGTTCATCACCAGTGACAGCAGAAGTTCTACTTTGAATCCAGTAATTGCTGGTGTTAATCACAGGTGTAGCTTTCCACCTGGCAGTATCTGAGCACATTTAACAGGGATTACCAGAGACAATGAAAGCTTTAGGTTTCTTTGCTTTAGGTCCACCTCCCTCCCATTCCACCTCTTCTCCCAGGAGAAGCTTCCACTATGGTGTAATCAAAAAGTGTCACCAAGGCCCAGGGGCATTAGGGCAGAGCAGAAAACACATCTCTTCCTAGGGGCTGGAGCACAGGTCAGGGTGGGGAGCAGGGAACATAACAGTTGGAGCTGAAGCAGGAATCAACATGCACCAAGCTAGCTGCTGGCAGCTGAAGGACAAAGGCACAGGTCTTCTGCAGTGCCCACGACATTTCTAGCTCTTTCTGAAGCCTAGAATCCATGCCAAGGAGAACTGCATCTACCCAGCTGCTCCTCAGTTTAATGAGAGGAAGATACGAAAGAAAATAGCTACAGTGATAAGTAAATTAAGACTCATCAGTTCCTCAGAGCACGAGAAGGGAAGAAACCAGAGCATTTATGGCAATCATGGGTTGGAGGTGACAGCAGGGAACAGCACTGGATAATGACTAAAAAAGCCAGCCTGCACCTGCACTACCATACCCAAGGCTGTAATTTGCTGCAATCTGAGGTGATAACGATGGCAGTAAATGGGTTACATGTAGAAACAGATAGCCCAAGAATAAGCCACCAACTGCTTTGTAGCAACCACCATCACCACTGCATACTCAGCAGCAGGAGTTGCAAAATGCTGCCCGCTTGGAAAGGATGCTGAATGCTTGGGTGTGTGTGCCTTTGGATCCTGCTGAGGCAGGCAATGCTTTAAGCAGAAGCAGAATCCTGAAATGTAAAGTGCCTGTTTCACATCAGCATATGCAAAATTTCAGGGTTTGTGGTGTAAACTGGCATTAGTAGGGCAAAGGTAAAGGCTGTGAATAGAAGAGAACAGACTCAATGCCAAGAGATTAAGCTGCAATAAGGCATGTACAAAATAGTTAAACCTGCTCAAGTCAGGTTCAAGCTGCTTCTCATATTTATTTTTTTTAATATAATGCAAAAATTGCTTCCTCCCTGTAGAATGCTATGCTCCTTTATTCTGAACAACTGCCTACAGATTAACTCCCCCATGTGGCTCATGCAGCACTGCCTGGACTTTCTCTTCAAAATAATCAACATTTACTATTTCCAGCATCTCCCACAGTATCAGGCACCTGCCATAAAGGCACTAAAAAATCCAAGGCCCTTTTGAATCAAGTGCCCCACAGCAGGAATATTTCTTTATAGCTTCCATCAATCAATAGCTGGCACCTGCCCTGAAGCATGGGCACTTCAGAAGAGGTGGCTAGAAAGGAAGAAGAATTATTTATTGTGTCTTGTAAACTTGCTAAACTCTTGCTTCCCCAAACACCTTGAGCAATGCTGAGCTCTTCTTCCAGAAGGGAGGCATGTGATTTGCACTAATAAACTATACCTCTCCTTGTGTATGCCTGTGTCTTCACCTTAGGCACTGCTGTCCCATTTAGAGAGTCAGTTTAGCCTCTTTTGAAGGTTATCCACAAATACAATCAATCCTTCAAGGCTTGGACTAACTCCTGTATCCCTTTTAAATATGCATTACTGAAAATTATAATTGAATCACATCACTACTTGCTCTTCCTTCCAGGACAGTGGTAAGGGAATTAAACCATAGCTTTTGTGCTCTGCAATTTACCACACAAGCTGGCAAGTTCATTGCTTGGTTTTCCTTCTTTCAGTCTACTCCTGATTCAAAACAGAACTTTATTTCTTGCCTCTGCTGCTCACAAGGCTCTTTGTAAAAAGCCTTGATGTAGTCAAGTAAACTACTTCTGGTTTCTTTTACCTATTATTTGCTAGTACAGTCTTAGAACTCTTGCAATTAGGAAAACTTGATCCTATTATACCAAGTTAAATCA